GTTTTCAAAACTAGCTAGGCATTGTTTATCTCTCACATTGTCTCACCCCTCCATCATGGTTTTCCCACTTACGGTGCCCCCATTTCCCCCCTTTCTCCCTTACTAATACCCTTCTCCTATGGTCCTACCTCTCTTGAGCTCATTCTTTCCCTTTATCCCCTAGTTTCCTTGTATACCCTTCCCTGCCCCCTCCATTAAACTAACCCAATTTTTTATTTTTATGCCTACATCCATTTCTGACTCTAGTATGTGTGCATGCATCCCTGTAAACATGCTAAGGTCCTAATACAAAACAGCCTTTGAATCCTGGGCCTTTACCTAGTTGCTTTGCATATGCTAAGATCAATATGTGTCTGATATATTGAGGAATGAATTCAGTACTGCCAATTTTCACAATTATTCCCCAGTTAATGCTAATTGCTTCTGTTTTTAGAGACTGTTGTGTGCTAGGCATTCCACGGTGATTGCATCTTTAATTTTCACAACCTCATTATGAACAAAAAATTATTGTCTCATTTATACATGAAGAAACTGAGACTCAATATATAATATAATTATATAATTGTCCCTAAGTCACTTAGCTATGGTGATAAAAATGAGATCTGAGCTCATTTGTATCTGCTTTCAAAAATGTACTTTTCTTAATAGTTTGTGGTTTATCTTAACACGCAAAATGTTATCTCATTCTTTAAAAATACTACTTTTTATAGCTTTACAAATATAGGTAAGAAGAAATATCTTCATGATATTTTGAAATTTTGTTTCAAATTCTGTGGCATAGTTCACCTGTCTAAGATAAAGCAATTGGCAATAACTTAGGCATTTGGGGAAAATTTTTCATACTAGTCATGACTCTCAAAAGCAGGAATGCAAAGACATGTGGATTTCGCCACTGCAGATATTAAACCAAGACATATTTTTACATGCTCTGTGAGGAACAGGTTTGGTCCCCAGCAGACATTCCTATCCAAATACAAATCAACTTTTATGACATTATCTCCAAATATGAGGAGGCAAGATAGGCACTTTAGAGCTGTTTTTATCAGGAGTCTAAACTGTGCAATCCAAGAAAGGGAGATGTCTGAAACTGTCACCTGGTGCCCAGTGGAGAATAATGACTACCTCTGCTAACGTTAGGAGGTCTTGGATAAGAGCACAGTTACGTCACATACTATAGATGTTCACCTCATACGGTTTGACCTACTCTTTTCACCCTTAAACTGCACAGTGCTACCTTCAGGCCAGAGAATGAATCACTTCATTTGCAGATACTTCTTCTGAATTTTTAATGTTCCAAACAAATGGCTTATTAAGCATGTGTGTAGCCATTAGAACTTGGAATTGACTCCGTTGATGGGTTAACATTCTTACTCTTGGAGATGGAGCTACTGAGAAACATAAAGAGGAATTGAAGGACAGAAATATTTGGGAAAAAGAAAGGATAAATTAATTAGCATGTCAAGTCCGCTGAGATAATATGAACTGAGTAGATTCTTCTCAATGAATTTTGTTTCCTAGAAGAGATAAGTGGCCATATCTTCACATTTCTTTATGTTCCAATTCCTGATTTGGGAACTACTAAACAAAGAAATTGCACACAGTAGCTGAGGAATATTCTGCAATTTTTTATTTACAATAGTCTAATTTTGTATATGTGTAACTGTGGATATCACTTACATAAAACATGTTGTTTCTTTAGAATAGCAATTAAAATATGGACATTAAATGCTGGTATTAAAAATTTAATTTTTATAAAAATTAAGCTATATTAAATTTCAAAAAATTAAGTATTTTTACCTTTGTTTAAATTTTAAAGTCAATAAACTCATAAAATAAACTCAAAATAAAAAATAAACACATTTGCTTTAAATTCTAACACATTATTTTCAGTATTTCGATTTGCAAATAGCATTTTGAATATATGAAAATATTTTATGTAAGACTTTTTCACATTTGCAATGTCTATATTTTCATCAAGTTGTTTACATTTCATTATGATTACATTTAGTTTCGGTTGATCATTTAGA